AAGAGAAAGAAAGAAAGAAAAAAAAAAGTAAAAAAGGCCCAGAAGAAGAAATCGACTTCGAAAACATAAAAACCTATTTCTTTTTCTCTCTCTCTCTTTCAGCCCGAAAAAGAGGAGGTCTAACGTGTATACCCCCTCTCCCCTTTCCCTTCCCCTCCCCCCTCCCCCTTCCTCTCCCTCCTCCCCTTCTTCACCCCTCCCCCCTCCCCCTCCCTCTTTCCTATTCCAGCACTAACAAGGCTAGGACTATCTGGTTATGGAGAGGGGGGGTGGGGTGGGGGTTAAGGAGAGGGGAAAGGGGGGGTAGGGGTACATTTATCACCCACCCACCCAACAGGGGGTCTCTGCAGCCCCATCCCCCCCAGTCCCCCCCTCCTTCCCCTATTTCTTTGTTGATTCCACGGTTGTGGCAAGGCGTAATTAGGGAGAGGGAGAGGGAGAGGGAGAGGGAGAGTGAGGAAGAGGGAGAGAGGGAGGGAGGAAGAGAAGGAGAGAGAGGAAATGTAAGAAAAAGAGAGAGAGGAAGAGGAAGAGAGGGAGGGAAAGAAAGAGTAAGAGAGGGAGAGAGAGTAAGAGTAAAAGTGAGAGAGTGAGAGAGAGAGAGAGAGAGAGAGAGAGAGAGAGAGAGAGAGAGAGAGAGAGAGAGAGAGAGAGAGAGAGAGAAGCAGCAGCAAATACACAGCCAGGAGAAAAAGAAAATAAGGACAGAAGAATACAAAAAGGAAAAAAAAAACGAAACACAACGTACAGAATAGACAACGTAATCAAGGAGAGAAAATGGGATGGCAACGCAAGAAATTACAGATGGAACGGATGATGAAAAAATGGAAGAAATAAATTAAAGTGGATAGTTGGGAAAATGAAAAATGGTAGCAGAGGGAATTCAAAGTGTGGCAGAGAGAGAGAGAGAGAGAGAGAGAGAGAGAGAGAGAGAGAGAGAGAGAGAGAGAGAGAGAGAGAGAGAGAGAGAGAGAGAGAGAGAGAAAGAAAGATAAATAAAAAAATAATAAATAAAGATAATAAAGAAAGAAAGAAAGAAAGAAAGAAAGAAAGAAGAAGAAAGAAAAAGAAAAGAAAAGAGGCACACAAGACGCATCGTGAAAGGCGGCAGCATAGGACGAAAAGGTTTGTTGTTAGAAGGCAGAAAGATGGTAATAGAGAGAAAAAAAATGATTTTGGTTGGATGGAAGCCGGTGGCAGAGGGGGAAAAACAACAACGACAACAGCAACGACGAAACAAACATGCAGAAATAGTTAGGGAAAGTTGTAAAGCGCGCATGTAAATAAGGTATAAAAGAGGTACGAGGGAAGGGAAGGGGGAAAAAGGAGAGGAAGAAGAGGAGAGAGAGAGAGAAAGAGAGAGCGAAAGAGAGAGAGAAAGAGAGAGAAAGAGAGAGAAAGAGAGAGAGAGAGAGAGAGAGAGAGAGAGAGAGAGAGAGAGAGAGAGAGAGAGAGAGAGAGAGAGAGAGAGAGAGAGAGAGAGAGAGAGAGAGAGAGAGAGAGACAGATCGATAGATAGATAGATAGATAGATAGATAGGAAGAGAGAGAGAGAGAGAAAGAAGGAGAAAGAAAGAGAAAGAGAGAGAGAGAGAAAAGGAAAGGGAAAGGGAAAGGGAAAGAGAAAGAGAAAGAGAGCAAGAGAGCCAGAGAGCGAGAGAAAGAGAAAGATAGAGAGAGAGAGAGAGAGGTGGCAGGTGGTGGCAGTGTCGTGCGTGGTCGTCCTTAGCCCCGAGAGGCACCCATAAGGCCCACCACCCTGCACACTCTCCACTTTCCTAAACATAATGAACACAGTAAACTACGGTCCTAGTACTGTGTGTGCGTTCCTGTCTGCTCTCTCCTCTCCTCTCTTCTTCCTTCCTTCCTCCCTCCTTCCCTTACTCAGTCTCTCTCTCTCTCTCTCTATCTTTCTCTCTCTCTCTCTCTCTCTCTCTCTCTCTCTCTATCTTTCTCTCTCTCTCTCTCTCTCTCTCTCTCTCTCTCTCTCTCTCTCTCTCTCTCTCTCTCTCTCTCTCTCTCTCTCTCTCTCTCTCTCTCCCTTTCGTTCAATCCCTCCCTTCGCTCAATTTTTACCTTCCTTCCCTCCACCCCTTTTTATCCTGTATTCTCCATTTCTTCCCTTACTCTCATTCCTTTTACCGACTGCCTCTCCCCTTCCTTTCTCTTCTGTCCGATTTGCTCTATTCTTCTATTCCTTTCCATTCGCTCTCTCCCTCCCTTTCTTTTCTCTTCTCTTTTCCTTTCCTTTCTTATTATTCTATTATTCTCTTTTCCCTTTGGCGTCTTTCGTACTTTCTCCCTTCACTCTCTTATCTCATTATTTTAAATAAAAATAATTATAATGATAAAAATAATAACAACACATAATAATAACAATAACAACAACAACAACAACAACAGCAACAACAATAATAATAATAATAATGATAATAATAATAATAATAATAATAATAATAATAATAATAATAATGATAACAATAATGAATTCTAAAAAACGTTCGTCCCCTAACTACCTGTCACCCGCGACCCGCCCCCC